CGTAAGTGGGAAATGAGTGCCCTCCCCCCGGGGCTGCTCCCGCAGAGGGTCTGCCTGGCCCCCAAGCCAGAGGTCACTCCACGGTCAACAAGCACTAGAACAGAGAGAACAGCCACCAGCCAGACCCCCGTCTGCAGGCTGCCACAGGAACAGAAGGAAAACCCAGAACCAACGCCTTTCCCAACGCAAGGTGCCCAGTTCCAAGCCTGGCTTGGCCGGGGACCTGCTCCGCAAGCTTCCAGAAGCCACAAGTGAAGAAAGAAGAGCCCTGAAGGGCCCTCCCACAGGAGACAGATCCGACCTCCCAGATGTCCTGCGGCAGCCACAGGGTGGCCTTCTGGCTCAACTCAAGGCAGAACTTGCCCGACCGAAGAACAGCAGCTCACGCTCGCTGGACCCTCCCTGTGTCCCTCTCTGGGCAGGTCCTCATAGTGTCCCCATGTTACAGAGGAGACCGGCCACAGCAGAGGCTTGGAGCCATCACACGGGGCCAGGAGCAGAGCGGGCGCACCACCGCCGGCCTCAGGGCTCTTCCCCAACATTCCAGCAGCGCCCACAAAGCACAGCTTTGCCGTCTGACATTGTCGTTCAGTCATTCAACTGACCAGCGTCAGCAGCCAGGACAGACACAAGGGGCCTCAGCAGAGCTGACCTCCCGGTGGTGGGGACTGCTGACCCTCGTGCTCTGTAACTGGGTCAAGCTTTCACCGATCTGTTGCCAAGTCTCTGGACAGGGCTGCAACTCCCAGCAACAGCAGTGCTCCCGTGGGAAGACAAACCCTACTGCACAACGATCCATCTTCTTCTGAGACTCCCCTGAATGCACTGCAGAGAAAATGGGGACCGCTAGAACCCCTCCCTAGCGACACCCTTCAGGGAAGCGCTTGGAAACACCCGAGATGCCCAAGGAGCTCCCCGCTAGGCCCTAACCACGTCCCCCCACCCGCGGACCCCAGCCTCCCGGGGACATGGCTCTCCTGCCGAGGGTATTTCGTTCGCCAGAATGCACCTCACAAGATAGAGGGAACACTGCAACAGAGGCAACAGAATGCAACAGAGGCAACAGAATACAAGCGAAATTTAGGAACGATTTAGGCGGGAGTGGAAATGAGCTTGAGCTGGTCCACACCGGCTCTGAAACACCTCCCACTGCCCGTGAGGACCGTGGTTAGACTGTGAGGTTGGCCCTCGCTTACCTTCATCTGGGAAAGATGCCCTGATGCTCCACTGGGAATACAGGGCTGCACCCCCAGCCCCAGCACGGGCCTGCCACGCACAGGATCTACTCTACAAATACGTGTTGAGCCATCAACAAATAAGTGAATGAGTCAATGACTCAATTAGTGTATAAAAGGCACACACCGAGCTATTAGCAGTGGTTTTCTCTAGGAGTGAGATTGGAAGGGAAAACTTTTAGTCTTACCGAATTCATTGAGTAAAGATTAATTCTGTCACTTGAACCTGTCCTTGGCCTAAGAGGGCGCAAAGGACTGGGGTCTAGGCTGCAGGATCACCAGCCCCCGGCTCTCAGCGGCAGCGGGAAGCCCTGTCCCCCTCGCTCCCTCTCTGCAGGGGACCGCGGTCACTCCGGGAATCTAAAAGCCATGCTCCCAGACTTGGGGAGGGCAGGCCGTCAGCACAGCCTGGGAAGCCCGGGGGGAGAACCCCACCACTACACAAGGTGCTCAGGCTTGGGGTGCGGGGCCCCACCGGGACCTCGATGTTGTTTGTTGGGATGCAGCACCGGCAGGTCGGGGCTGGGGAACCACCTCAGGTAGGTAAGTAGAGGGCGGGCCTGGGGACACACCAATAGGGGAGGCCGCCACGGGGCAGACGGGCAAGTCAGTTCTGCGGACAGCGCTGCCGAGCTGGGTTTAACAGATGACGAAGCCGGGGCTGGAGTCAGCGGGCTGGTGGGTCAGGCAGGGCGGGCTGGCCCCGGGACTGCCCCGCATGGCAGAGTTGGCACGGCGATGCTCGACATACAGGAGGGAGGGAGGATGGGATCCCGGGGAGCAGCGGCAGTGAGCCAGGCCAAGCAGGGGACAAGGGGTGATTGACAGCAGTGAGCCCCCTGCACTGACTGCCCAGCATGGTGCCCGGGGCGCCCTTCACCACCCCTGCCAGCCAGACCTCCTGCAGCTGCTGCGAGGCTGCCCCACTTAACTAAAACCGCGTGTGAACCTGCAGTGACCTCAGTCCACATTTCAGTGGAAAACAACTCACTCCTCCCGTATTGTGGCATTTTACAAAGGAACAAATATCCGAGTCCCAACACGGCACCCAAATATAACCAACCCTCTGCAAATTAGACAAGCGATCCCCGGTTCCCAGCACCACGGACGCCAGCACCAGTCCCTGCCTGGGCCCTTTCAGGGCCATAAAACAGTATCCAGCCAAGAAACCCTTTTTCAAAGATGAGTCACAAAAGCCCGTAAGATCCTGGGCAGAAATGATAACGGAGACAATAACCGCTGTCAGAAAGGGCTGAGCAACAGGGTCTCTGCTCCCAGACGGTCTCGGGGACGGAGGGGAGGCTGCCCTCGGCCCCTCCCCCGAGGAGCAAGCGGGGCTCCTGCACGGGTGATGGCAGCTCCTGCCCGCCCACCAGACCAATTCCAGCCATTTGTTTTTAAACAACAACGTAAACTGTCCTCCATGTTTGCCATTTACAGGCACCACCTGCATCTATTAAAAGTGCCCAGTGCCAGCCGCTCCATTCCAGGGAGGCAAACCAGGGGCCAGAGGGGCTCAGCTCTTCCGAAAACACGAACTTCAGGATCCGGAGCCGAACTCACGCTCCTTGGATCCAGAACTCCTCTCTATAACACGGCCCTTGACTCCCACGGTCCGACCTGAGATGCTGAGAACAAACGCGGGGCCTGTCTGGGCATCTGAGCTGCTCCTTCGCCTTTCAGGAGGGACCCAGAAGCAGGCCCGAGCTCCGCTTCCGTACTTTCATGTTGTATCTGCAGTTCTACTGACACCCACTGGTGATGGATATAACTCAGGCCTCGAGAACATTCTGTTTAAATTCCCAGAATCCCAGGTCAGAAAGACTCACAGAAGCTGAGCTCCCCACAGGTGCGCACATAGATGCCTGATACCCGCGTAGTCACAGCGGTGCTGACAGCGCCCCCATGACCAGCGGGAGGGGGGCTCAGAGCCGGATGCAGGTTCCGCCCTCTCAATCCCAACAGCACGACCAGGAAGGAGGTTCTCCCTCTGCCTGCCTGTAACTCTTTTTTTTTTTTTTTTTTTTGCGGTACGCGGGGCTCTCACTGTTGTGGCCTCTCCCGTTGCGGAGCACAGGCTCCGGACACGCAGGCTCAGCGGCCATGGCTCACGGGCCCAGCCGCTCCGCGGCACGTGGGATCCTCCCGGATCGGGGCACGAACCCGCGTCCCCTGCATCGGCAGGCGGACTCTCAACCACTGCGCCACCAGGGAAGCCCTGCCTGTAACTCTTAACTTCTCCTCCCTCCCTCTTGGGTGAACACCGGCGCATCGCAGAGGGCAACACGGCTGCCTACGGGGCCTTCAGGAGGGTTAGAGCTTGGTGACCCACGGCAGATCCAAACCTGGGACCCCCTCCATCCCCCGCCCAGGACGTGCTCCTGTTCACGGTTAACTGGTCATTTCTCATGTATCATCGTCTCTTCTCCGAGACGCTGGAGAAACAGTGACCTCGTGATGGTGATGACCACCGTGCACCCGTCCCAGGAGTTCATGAACTCAGATAACAAGACCACAGCACCCAGGCCACACGCAGGGACATCGTCACCGAGACAAACACTCTCCCTCCTGGAGCTGAGCCGTCTCTTCGGGTCCTGAGTGTCTCTGTTCTGAGCCAAACACTCTGCACCTCCCAGATCTCCTCCCCAGCCACTCACACCCAAAGCCACATCCTGCCCCTCCTGGATGGGAGCTGCAGCCGGCCCACCGAGACCAGAGGTTCCAGCAGCCCCAGGTGGGGAGGCTGGTGCGGTCCCTCCTCCTGGATTCTCCCAGACAGCCAGGCAAAAAGCCCCCAAGAGTACTCAGAGGGAGCATGAGACCGAGGAGGGAGGCCCGTCGGCAGGACCTGAGAGGAGAGCAGCCCTCACAGTGACTCGTGGCTGCGAAGGGCTGACCCACACCCACCAGGAGAATCAACTTCTAAAACACACCCAGGCACAGCCCTGAGCCTGTCCCATGAATTTCAGTTCCAAAGTAATCGAGCAGTTTCACTCACAAGTTGAAAGGCAGAACAGCCCAAGTGTCCATGCACAGGTAAATGGATAAACAAAACGTGGTCCATCCATTCAGCCTTAAAAAGCAAGGAAATTCCGACACACAGAACAACAGGGATGAACCTTGAGGACATTATGCCCAGCAAAATAAGCCAGTCACAAAAGGACCAATGCTGTAGGAGGATTCCACGCCTAGGAGGTCCCTAGAGGAGTCAACTCATAGAGACAGAGAGCAGAAGAGGGGGGCAGGGCTGGGGAGGGGAAGGGGAGTCAGCGTCTAGCCGGACAGAGTTTCCGTCTGGGACGATGAAAAGGCTCTGCAAGTGGACGGGGAGGATGGCTACACAACAGTGTGAATGTACCTGATGCCCCTGAACTGCACGCTTGACAATGGTTAAAACAGTAAATTTTATGTTACGTCTATTTTACCACAATTAAAAACTGATAATAATTAAGCCACTGACATGGTGGCCCAGTAAGGGTGGGATCTAGCAACAGTGGTTTTTCTGGCCACAGTCATACAGACATGGGCTATTTGTCTTATGAAAGCATTTCTCAAGGAGAGAAGGCAGAGATGACCTGAGGGATGTGAGGTGTGTTCAGGAAGGGGCTGCGAACGAGACAACACTGCTGCCCTCCCCCCCCCCCCCCCCCCCCCCCACCAGGCTGTTTGCTGGGGGGCCCAGCCAGCCCTCGCCCCAGTTCCTGCAAGGTCTGACCATGAACTAACAGAGACTCACCAAGCAGACAGAAACAGAGGAGCCCTTACCCGATTCTCCATGAGCTGGAAGGAGACCAGGTATCTGCTGCAGACCAGACACCAGAAGGTTCTCGGGAAGAAGGTGGAACACGGGCTCCAGGAGCGGGTGTGGCTTCAGCGTGTACTGCAGGCTGCAGTTCTCAATGAGGGTCATGTGCTTGTTTTCTGAGGGAGAAAACACCTCCTGTGACAGCCCGAACCAAGGCACCTTCGGCCAAACCGACCAATAAACTGAGCATCTTGGAAAAGAACTCAACAAACAGGAAAAGTATTTTTCTAGGGAGACAAGGGAATTGTTCTGTTTGCTCAGCCAAAGAGCAAAAAAGAATCAATCCTTAAATAACTCTCACTGGTAAAACTGCAACTAAAGAGATACTTGTTTTTGATCCGACATAACAAAATCTCTCCGCTCACCTCTTCCCCAAGAGCAGTGAAGTCAGGCTTCGCTTTTGCTCCCATAATCAGAGGGAACCTAGAAGGTCCTCTGACCAGAGGCCTGCATCCCTTTCAGTCTCAGCCTTGCATCCGTCAAGACCCACAAAGCAGCAGGACTAGGCCCTGGGTGGCCAGTGGCCTCCAAGACAGAGTCCTGTCCTCAAGGAAGGACCATTCCTCTGGGATGACTAAGACACAAGCATGCCGACATCCATAACACACAGGAGAACGGGATCCGAACCCCAAGGAAGGTTCGGATAACGTGCTAGGGGAAGTGGGAAGAGGGAAAGCGTCCTAGAGAAAGGAACCACTGGGAAGAGCTCAGATACAGAGCACTCGGGAAAGTGGACGGAAGGGCGTCAATAGAAACTGGGCTGGGAGGGACCACAGACATGCCCTCAACACATTCCCATCAAATGGTCCATCTTGCCTGGGCTTGATTTCCTCCACTGATAGGGGACTCACCACCTCCTGAGGCGTGCTTCGTGCTTTCATAAGAAAAGAACTAAATATTCGTTAGAAAAACAAAACTATATTATCGAAAAACAGATTTTTAATATCTAACCACTCCAAACATGGGATGTGCTTACTTTAAAATGTTAAGTACCCTGAAAGGCACTCTGCTACATGGCTGGCTGGTGAGCACGCTGGTACAACCTCTATGGAGGGCAAACAGGGGAAATAACACAAAACTGTGAATGCACAGGCCCTCAGACCAGCAATCCCACTTCTGGGAGTTTACCCTACAGTTTCACGTGCACACTTGCAAAATGGCAGATGTCCACTGCAGCAAAGCCTTCAACCCTCTGTTCTTACAGAACTGCCCCAAGGGTCCATTTGGGGTGGGTTGGTTCAATCACAAACAGCAATTCAATGAAATACCACACAGCTGTAAAAAGAATGAGCACGGGGCTTCCCTGGTGGCGCAGTGGTTGAGAGTCCGCCTGCCGATGCAGGGGACGCGGGTTCGTGCCCCAGTCCGGGAAGATCCCACATGCCGCGGAGCGGCTGGGCCCGTGAGCCATGGCCGCTGAGCCTGCGCGTCTGGAGCCCGTGCTCCGCAACGGGAGAGGCCACAACAGTGAGAGGCCCGTGTACCGCAAAAAAAAAAAAAAAAAGAATGAGCACACTTTCTAGGTGCTGATATGAAACATCCTCCAAGATAAATCATTAAGGGAAAAAAGAAAGGTCTGGGACAAGTCAACGGGGGCAAAAACAGAACAGGGACGTGCACGTGTGCTTGTGTGTCATCAGAGGACCTAGAAGGACCCACAAGATCCCAGAGAGGAAGGTCACCTGTGGTGCAGGTGAAGGGCCGAGCAGAGGAGGAAGGAGACCTCACCTGAACCTTTTCATACTATTCAGTACTTTGAATGCTGGGTCATGTGACTGCATTATCCATCCAAGAAAAACAGCCCTGCACTTTTAGAAATGCCACTGAGATGATGAGCTGACAGCCTGTGGCGGTCCCTCCCCAGGCCTCCCTCACACGGCCACAGCTCCCACACCCTCCACCAGCACCCAGATCCGTGGGCCTGGAACCAACCTGGGGGCTGTGTCTGCTGTTGGAAAGGTGCTGAGTCTAAGGATACTTCAGGAGAGAAAACGCTGGCAGGTTAATGATTAAATTCAATTGCGAAATAACCTAAAAGCCAGTCTGTATCAACAAAACCAAGTTTCTGACCGATTGTTCCTCTATCGTGAGATTTTCACCAAATTCAGAGCGAGTGGATGGGTCGGGGTAGGCTTGGGTTTTTCACACTGGCTGGGTGCCCATCGGAAACTGGGCAACGTCGCAAAGAGACAGAAAGTCATCCCTCCCCCACCCCCACGCCAAAGAGACCCACCTTCACCGCTTGGCCCCCGTCCACACTCCCCGAGGGCCAGCAGAGCCCACACGGGCCCCTGAAACAGCCTGTTAGCCCACCCCCCCGCTTCACCGCACGCTCTTCCGTCCACCCTCCACGCGGCCTGCAGCCAGGGGGCCGCAGGTCCCTCCCACGGGTACCCTGACGGCTCGGGAGAAGCCACAGAGGCAGGGCAGGAAGCCCACTCTGCCCTAAGGCTGGCCGCTCCGCACGGGGCCCATGCATGCCAGGTGCTCCTGCAGATGCCACTCTCGTTTGGCACCACTGGACACCTTGCTGTGGTGGAGATGACCCACGGACTTCACGGTCAAAGGCTTCCTGGGACAGCCGCTGGGCAGTGATGGACAGCAACTACTTCACGTGGGGACAAAGCTGCTACCCCAGGGGCAAGGAGGCCAACAGCCCTCCCACCAGGTGGCCCCCATGGGGTCGTCTTCACACGGCTACACCATCCTTATAGGCTCGTGTGTCTCTGATCTTCAAATTATGTCAGAACTGCAAGCCCAATGTTACATGTTCCCCAAATCTATTAACAATTCAGCTAAGCTGATGAGGTTCTAACACTCAGGAAAGTCATATGACGAACAGGTGCTGCTGAGGACAGTAGGAGCAGGCCTGGCCAGGCCTCGTCTCTTACGTTCTATGGGGTCCTGGAGAAGCGGGTGCAGGAGGGCTCGGGGGCTGCCGTGATACAGTCTCAACCTGCAAAACAAGACCCGTGAGATGCAGGTCAGCATCTTGCGTCTACTCATGGGATGTCAGCTATGCTTCTCGAAAGGAAGGCCTTGGGGACCCCAGCACCACACCTCCAGGAGCTTTCTCGACCCTCTGTGGGAAACAGACGGCTGAGGACAGCATCAGATCCGCGAGCCCTCAGCACTCGTGGCCAAGCATGTCCAGCACACACACAGCACGGCCCGAGTGCAGCCTGAGAACCTCAGCGCTAGAAAGCAATGCCTGGGGAGTTGGTCATGCTTGGAGATGTCCCAAGAAAACAACGTTTGAGGGGTTTCCACGATTGTGTGTCTGGAGTGGTGGTTCTCAACCCGGGATGACTTTGCCCCGTCGGGACGTCTGGTAAAGTCTGGAGGTACTTTCGGCTGTCACAGCTGGGCGGGGAGGGGGCTGCCTGGCATCTAGTGGGCAGAGGCCAGGGGTGCGACGAGACCTCGTACACTGCACGGGACAGCCCAAAGTGTCCGCGGAGCCAGGGTTGACAGGCCCCGATCTACAGTGACAACGCAAACCCCACCACGGCTGAAACGACCACACACCATCTCATCCATCCGGGCACGTCCAGCTCCTCATGTAACAGAGCCTGGCACAGAGCGGACCCCCAGCCAGTGTTTGCTGAGTGAACACCTACTGCTCCCTGGGCGCCTGTCTGGGAAGAACCTACTGTTTACACTCCGGACCCTTAGGAGATGGGCGCTGCACTGAAGATGAATTCAAAGAGTTTAAACAACTGGCCTAAGACCCCACAGGAGTAAGTGACGGAGCAGGACTCAGCCCTTGACCACCTTACATCAGATCCCACCCCCGAGGCCAAGGCCTGTCCTGCTCCCACCTGGAGAACGATGGTTGGGCTTATTCAGAAACAGCAAACCCAGTTACAGCCCGAAGCAAAAATACCACCGGGAGACTGTGATGAACACACTTGCTGACAAATTCAGAGCTTTCTAGTCTGGACAAATAATGAGCCGTTAAATCACCGCAGAAAGACGCCAGAAACCCCAGCGACGGGGAAAACGGGGCAGATACCGTTTGTCCTGGGGGGCAGACGTAGGAGATTCCGAGTTGTTGCTGAAGATCCGAAGGATTCCAAACCCACAGGACAAAGCCTGAAGGGTCCCGTCCCGTCTCCTGCCTTCAGTGACCACTTCCACCACGGCCACGATATTAGGGTGGTTCAAGGACGTGTGAAAATAGAAGGGCTGCAAAAGAGAAGCCAGGGACGGACTGAACGCTCTCGAGCTGCAGAGAAGAAACACAGAGGAACACAGGTGCGCTCCCTCCTCGTTGTCACGTCAACGCCACAAACACGCCGCGTGGAGAGCAGCATCCCTTCCAGGCGCCAGAGAAGAGAAGGGGCCCAGTGAGCGACCCCCTCACAGCTCCTCCTTCCAGGGTGCCCAGCATCTGGGACATCAAACTATTTGCTTCTCCTCTGGGATCTTCCCATCCACAGAAAATGCCAACAGACCCACAGCCTCTGGAGAACAAAGGGGCTGGGGCAGCCTCGCGCCCCATGCCCATCACCCGGAAGGACCACGAGCCCAAAGACGTAAGTAGCCCACCGCACCCACGCACCCGCTGAGCCGTTCCATCCAACACCGCCGTCAAACTGCAATCACAACTTGCCAGTATGGACTCTAATCCCTGTTTCGTGTGGAAATACCATGAGGCTGCACCCGAATTAATTTTGTTTAAACTAAGCAGGTGGCTTCCCTGGTGGCGCGGTGGTTGAGAGTCCACCTGCCGATGCAGGGGACACGGGTTCGTGCCCCAGTCCGGGAAGATCCCACATGCCATGGAGCGGCTGGGCCCGTGAGCCATGGCCACTGAGCCTGCACGTCCGGAGCCTGTGCTCCGCAACGGGAGAGGCCACAGCAGTGAGAGGCCCGCGTACCACAAAAAAATAAAAATAAAAATAAACTAAGCAGGATCCTCAGTTCAGAGCCCAACTAACATCTTTTAATGATGAATATTGCTGTGGGATTTTTTTTTTTTTTTGGCTGCGTTGGGTCTTCGTTGCTGCACGCGGGCTTCCTCTAGTTGCGGTGAGCGGGGGCTACTCTTCGTTGCGGTGCGCGGGCTTCTCACTGCGGTGGCTTCTCTTGTCACGGAGCACAGGCTCTAGGCGCGAGGATTTCGGTAGTTGTGGCATGCGGGCTCAGTAGTTGTGGCTCGCGGGCTCTAGAGCACAGGCTCAGTAGTTGTGGCGCACGGGCTTAGTTGCTCCGCAGCATGTGGGATCTTCCCGGACCAGGGGTTGAACCCGTGTCCCCTGCATTGGCAGGCAGAATCTTAACCACTGGGCCACCAGGGATGTCCCACGGTGGGATTCTTTATTATAGGAGTTGTGGACCCAAGCCAAGTAGATGATACTCAAATTGCTCCTAAAAGGTTTCCCACTTGCAGCCTCTCCATCCTCTAAGGTACAGATGGCAGCCCTCACTCTCACCACGGGGAGGGGGGACACGGGCGGGTCAAATCCAGCTCCCATCGCTGAGATGCACCCTCCCAAGTGGGAATGGAAGCACCTTCCCTCTGCTGCTGTCTTCCAATCTCCTGAAATCCAAAGCAGTTGCTCTTAGCTAACAAACATCGTAGACACAGAAGACAGAAATGGAGGCACTAACTGGGTTTGCGAATCTATGGGCAACAAGCGTCCCAGAAGCCCAGGTCAGTGCTGACCTGAGGCTCTGGACCCGAGTGGTCCCCGGAACCCAGCGTCCTTGTTGGGGTGAAGCCCAGGTGTAGAGTCACCAGCAGAACACAAAGGCCACCCTCCCCCCCAAGGCAGGGACAGGCCAGGCCGGGCCGTGGCAACGTGACTTAAACTTGGAACAATCCCCCATTAACGAGTCATTACCATGGTGTCACCGAGAAAACGTTTACTGTAATCACAGACTGTCAGCCCAGGATAACAGAGAGACACATTAAAACATCAGCCACGAGATATAAATCGTTATTCTATTATCTTTTATTGCAAAATGATGAAATAGTGACCACTTACAGCTGACAGGCAGTTGGACCAAGAGAGAATTATGTTTCCGTTTCCAAGACTCAAGAACTGTTTTAAAAAGGCCTGCTGTAAAGTCAAGTTGTCATTATCTCACCTCTCATATGTACACCTGTGCATATCAGTTTTATGAACACTACCCACTTTTCCTCTTGGCAGTGAAACAAACATTGTCAGCTCTGATGCAAAGCAGCAACAAGCCTCCAGCTTAGAGGTCACCTTGAAATCCTTTGCCTGGAGGCGGGGGACCAGCTGCTTTGGGGACGGCCCACATGTGGACTCATGGCTGTTGCCTCTCCCTTTCCTTTACCACTGAAAACGATTATTCTGAGACCAAACCGACCACGGAGCCCCCTGGTCTGTCTCCAGAGACCCCACTTTCACCAGGAGGGTCGGCCTTGGAAGCTCCGTGAATCACAAGGCGACACGAGGTCTGAGGGTCTCATCCCATCATTACTGCTGGTTAAGGATGGATGCTTTTCCAAACATCATTTACTGCCCCTCTAGTGTGGGCACAGCGCGTGCTAAAGAATTTCTAAGGAACCTAGAAAACGCGATCCAGCCCTCAAGAAGTTCAAAGTTCAAAGGTAAAGGCTAGATTAGGCAGGTAGAAAATGCACACCCTGCCCAGGGCCGACCAACTCGGAGGGTCGGAGGAAGGAAAAGCCTCCTGGGATGAAGCACACAACTCTGCAGCTTCAACCCGTGTGCGTGCGTGTGTGTGTGTGTGTGTGTGTGTGTGTGTGTGCGTGTGTGTGTGTGTGTTTGGGGGGGTCCCCAGGAGGGCCAAGTCACCTGGAACCCAGGCACTCCCCCACCCCCAGCCCCGTGGGCTTGGCCAGACATCTCAACCGCTGTCGAGCAGCACTGCAAACACGCCCTCCAGCGTCAGGACGCCTCAAGGAGGCCATGCAGGATGCTCGCAGATGCATGGGCTGCCACTGCACGATTAAAAGCTGGAGTCAAGCCCGTCCAATTACCTGCGAGAGAAGCCGCGGGAGATGGCAGAGCGGGGCTCTGGCTCCCCCCGCATCACATCTCACTCAGCCACCCCTGACAAGGTGCCTCTCTGACAGGAGAAACAGATTAATAAATCACAGAAACGCTCCTGTCTTAATGCCTTCATCTTCAGACACACGGACACCGCTTTGCCTCGGGGCCCAGATTCCACTTTCACCCACACGATCGGGCCTCAGAGGATGTGCCTTCCTGGAGAGGTTGCGGCCTCGCGTCGCCGGCCGCACCTCCGCCTGACCTGCCCTAAGTGACACGTGCTCTTCGGTCCCAGGCTGAGGCCAAGGCCACAGGAGAGAGGATCAGAAATTAAACTAGTGCCTTCCAAACCATTTTTTTTTTAGTAAACCTTTAATAGGATGTCTTCAGGAAGGTGACTATATCACAAATACTTCCTGCAGCCAACATCTACCAGCTCAACCTTCCCCTTGAGGCTCAGGGCAGTTTCCTGCACACAAGCCACCACAAGACTGAGCGCTCCGAGCACGGTGAGCTCGCCAAGCAAAGTTGCCAAGCATCTGGGAAGATGCAAAATCTCTAATTCCAAAGTCAGAAGCTTCCGCTCATCCGGGGTGGGGTCCACCATTATCCACAGGAAGGGACACAGCCCTGGAGACAGCCCCCCGCCAAGAGAACTATCTGGCTCAAAGCGTCCGCGGAGCCAGGGTTGACAAGCCCCGATCTACAGTGACAACGCAAACCCCACCACGGCTGAAACGACCACACACCATCTCATCCATCCGGGCACGTCCAGCTCCTAATGTAACAGAGCCTGGCACAGAGCGGACCCCCAGCCAGTGTTTGCTGAGTGAACACCTACTGCTCCCTGGGCGCCTGTCTGGGAAGAACCTACTGTTTACACTCCAGACCCTTAGGAGATGGGTGCTGCTGTCCCTCACGCACGGACGATGAATTCAGAGTCAGGAGTTTAAACAACTGGCCTAAGACCCCACAGGAGTAAGTGATGGAGCAGGACTCAGCCCTTGTCCCCCTACATCAGATCCCACCCCCGAGGCCAAGGCCTGTCCTGCTCCCGCCTGGAGAATGATGGCTTGGCTTATTCAGAAACAGCAAACCCAGTTACAGCCCGAAGCAAAAATACGCCCCCAGGAGATGATGAACACAACAGCATAAGCTGACAAATTCAGAGCTTTCTACTGTCCCCACGTGGTAGACAGTTAAATCACCACACAGTACAACTAAATCCCACTGCTGGAAACATCACGGGGAGATATCCTTTGCCCTTCTATTCACTCACTCATTTCTATCCCCTTCCTACCACCGTCCATTCCTGGCTTGGTGTCCCCAAGGACTGGTTTCTGTTGAGCTGGAGAGGAGAGAAGCCCTCCTCGGGTGACGCGGTTGAGGCCAGGCTCTCTCCGTAGAGACGGTGCCCGGGAGTGACACTGGATTCCTGCTTTGCAGACTGTCTGCATCAGGAGCAGCTCTTGGAACATGTGAGAGGTGTAAGGAGAGGGTAAGGCACGTTCAAGAACCCGGAGATTAACCGAGGCACGGCAGAGCCTCCCAGAGTTTCGTTTGGACATGCTGACATTCCCTGACAGCCTCCACTTTTTTTTTTTTAATTTTATTGAAGTATAGTTGATTTACAATGTTGTGTTCATTTCTGCTGTACAGCAAAGTGATTCAGTTATACATATATACACATTCCTTTTTATATTCTTTTCCCTTATGGTTTATCACAGGGTATTGAATATAGTTCCCTGTGCTACACATTAGGACCTTGCTGTTTATCCATTCTATATACAATAGTTTGCACCTACCAACCGCAAACTCCCAATCCTTCCCTCCCCCACATCTCCCCCTTGGCAACCACAGGTCTGTTCTCTGTGTCTGTGAGTCTGTATCTGGTTCGTAGATAAGTTCACTTGTGTCCTATTTTAGATTCCACATATAAGCGACATCATATGATATCTGTCTTTCTCTGTCTGACTTACTTCACTCAGTACGATCATCTCCAGGTCCATCCATGTTGCTGCAAATGGCATGATTTCATTCTTTTTTATGGACAGCCTCCACTTTTAAAGGGAGTCACCTCACTCTCATTACTCTGACGAACAAGCACGTTCAGCAGCTGGTTGCTCTCGGTTGGCGATGGGACTAGGAAGCAGCCCAATTACCTGTGTCTCCCGGAGGCCAGGGATCCGCCTGTGACTTCAGCAACACCTCGGGCTGTGATGGGCTCAGGAGGAATCATCTCCTGGTCGGGGTTCCGGCTGCCTGTGAAGAACCACTAGGATTCCTGCCAGCCATTTGCATACAATAAATAAAGGAGGAGAAATGAGCCTGTCGCTGAAAGGCTGAGGTTGGTTAGTTAAGGAAAGAATCTAAGGGAGAATTATGTCCATCTCAGAAAGGAAGTGTAGGAACTGCACGGTACTTTGGCCTCTCGGATTTTTTTTTTTTTTAACTTATCTATTTATTTTTGGCTGTGTTGGGTCTTCGTTTCTGTGCGAGGGCTTTCTCTAGTTGCGGCGAGCGGGGTCCACTCTTCATCGCGGTGCGCGGGCCTCTCGCTATCACGGCCTCTCGTTGCGGAGCACAGGCTCCAGACGCACTCCAGGCTCAGTAGTTGCGGCTCACGGGCCCAGTTGCTCCGCAGCATGTGGGATCTTCCCAGACCAGGGCTCGAACCCGTGTCCCCTGCATTGGCAGGCAGACTCTCAACCACTGCGCCACCAGGGAAGCCCCCCGGATTATTTTTTAAAGATATCTTTTGAGAGGTTGAATGAACGATCAACCGTCTCAGTGCAAGTGAAGGGCAATTCCTCTCCACCGAGGACGGTCTCGAAGGGGAGCACCTAATTCTGAGTCAGAGCTGAGAGGCCCGGAGCTGGTCCCCTGGGCTCCGCCAGGCAGAGCCGAGAGGCTGGGACAAGAGGGGATCTGAGCGCAGCATGAGGAATTCATCACTCACAGAAAGAAACACCCAGCTCGGGCTCAAGGAAGGACTTCTTTTTTCCCAAGTCTTTCCTCAGGACGTTGTTTGCAAAGTAATAAAACAACATCTTCTTTCAGGGCTGCATATTACAGTGACAACTCAATCAAAACCCAGAGCCCACGCGGCTGATTCAGGAATCCACGTGTAGGCGGGACAGCCACGTAGATTCCAAAGATGGTCCCCTGCTACTGGCAGCTGGCAACCTCCCGTCGTATCACCCCCAAGCCACGGCTGATCGGCAGAACCAGAAAAACCCAGGCAATTAGTAAAATCAGAAGAAGATCATCACCAAATTTCAGAATCACTTCAAAAAAGGGCAAATTGTGTTTCTCTCTATTCCCATAGGTACGGACGCAGAGCTTTGCTCAGATGATGAGACCGCAGAACCAGTCCCTCCTGCCTATCTAGGCCACCTTGGGAATGCTCCACACTTCATGTAAACACGTACATACACGTATGCACGCAGGTACACACACACACACACACACTCACACACACTCACACTCACACACACTCACACACTCACACACACTCACACTCACACTCACACACACTCACACACACGGCGAAGGGGGATTCTCTTTAGTTAACTAAACTCTGAACGTCAAGGATGGGAGGAAAGCGCTGGGCAAGGAGGATGCCGCCGAGTGGCGCATCAGGATGGGTGTTCCTGGGGCACCACTGGCCTCTGCTGCTCGCCTTGGGCATAGCAGCTGGAGCACAGCTCTTCCCTGAGCAATTCCGTGGCTCTGACACCAGCTCCCAACCAGAAATGCTCTGTTCACCCACACCAGCCTTGCTGCGATCTCCACTTCAGTAACTAAGGCTGAAGGGTGCAGATTCTTCCAGAAACATTGAGGGCTGTGGTCCTCCCTAACACACGGCCCCGTCCCCATGCCCCACTCGGCAGAACACGAACGATGGAGCGGCACTCAGCTCCCACAGCTCAGGTCAGACCTGAACTGTGAGCTGGAAAGGCCCGAGACCCACAGCTCCCAGGACACGGGGACACACGAGAAGCCCGCTCAGGCACGGACGCTAAACCCTGGACGAGTCCAGAAGGGGGAGCGGCAGCTCTGAAGGCTTCCTTGCAACGCGACCTCCACTCTGCAGGGCTCACAGTCACCCAGCTGGTGGCGGGACAGGGCAGGCCCTCCGGGCGTGGCCTGTCAAGGCTGTGACAGCCACTGCCACGGGGAAAGCCAAGGGGAAAGCCACGGAGGGAGGGCTCATCTCGGGACCCCAGTGGCGGCAAAGTGCTGCTGTGCTGACTTCAGAGCATAACCATCCCCTCGACACGGCAGCGCTTCCAAACGGAGCCTGCAGGGCCCCTCCGATGCCTGGGGTGAAAACAAGGCCCAAGAACAATCCCTGCGGTCAAGGCAGGTGGCACTCACAGCCTCTGACCTGCCAGATTGCTCTTCAAGGCGGAGAGATGATCTACGGACCTCCAGAGGCGGATGGCGGGGACGAAACCACACCAAGGTGCTGGGAGCCAGCCTCTCCCGTGGAGACTCCCCAGGAGTGAGAGGACCCTGTGTCACCGTACTAACTGTCACCACACCGGGCTTCCCGGGGCCTGACTGTCCAACCGAGAAAGCGAATCCAAACAGCCCGGCCCTGGAAGGCTCCCAGCAACATCGGGGCCACCGCGCTCCTGCCCGGGCCTCGACCGCCCCAAGTCAGAGGCGTGAAGGCGACTCACTGCCTGAGCTGGGACGGCACCCTAAGCAGCCGCCCACCGTCACTCCCCGGTTTACAACACGCGGCCTTTCTCTCCAGCCAGACTCTAAGGGGCACCTCACAGGCCGTCTGGCAGCCTGGACACCAGCCGCGGTCCTGGGCCGCAGGACACACATACCCACGGCCTTATCTAATTTTCCTGACCTCCGGGGGCGGCGTCATCCTCTCCGGCACGTTCAGTAACAGGACCAGTCAGAATCAATCCACGCCGAGACATGGCATCCCGACCCTGGGTGACCGCCAAGTGCAGAGTCGCGACCCGGCGGCCTCACGACTGGGCCAGGACAGCCCCCCGCAGCAAAGGGCGGCTCGCTTGGTCTGGTTACGCACGGCGACCTCCCCCAGGATGGCCACGGTCACTGCCACCACCTCCATTATTCACTGTACTGTCACTTCCTGGGCTTCCCTGACTCTGTACACACGGGAAGGATAACGCCAACACAGCACCGACCCTCCCGATACCCGTGACCGTCCCCTGCAGGACCCCGCTGCCTGCAGTGCAGCTTGAAGCAGCGGCCGGGAAGAAGACCTCTGGGACACCTCCCACTCTTGAGGAAGAGCCCAGTGTGCCTAGGAAGGCCCTGCCCAGCCAGCCCGCCAAGCCCACCCTCGGCTGCCTGCCCACGTCCCCCTCCCCCACTCCCGGGCCCGTGGGGGGCCTGCCCTGCTCGTCCCGGGGCTGGGTCCCTCCTCATCCTGGGGCCCAGCTCGCAGAGCTCTGCCTGCAGCACACCTCCCTTCTTCTTCAGGGCAGCAGCTGTCGGTCTCCTCCGAGAACCTATCACACCTGCACCTGCTCTGTCGCCTGCCTGGGTGTGTCGTCCCAGCAGACTGCAAGTTGTCCAGGGTGAGAACCACGCCAGGCCCGTCCACCCAGCATCATGGCCCCGGCGCCCGCCACAACGGCCAGCAGACAGCAGGCGATGGAGGGATGTTTGTGAATTCGGTGCAGCTGAACGAAGATGGAAAACCCTATCTGCGGGGCGGCCAGACACAGCTACGTGGGCAAAATCGTGTCACCAACTGATGCCAACGCGAGCACCCCGTCTGCAGGCAGGGGCAGGGGCTCCGGGCTCTGCTACCTTCTACCTGGGTAAGTCACTTTACTGCTAGGTCTCAAGTTGCTCATTTTAAAAAAAACAAAAGAAGAAGAAGAAACGAAAAAGAAAGAAAAAGAAGGGGAGAGGAAAAGTAGGGGAGTCAGATGAGATCGATAATTTCCTAACTTTGTTCCAAAAGCTGCAAGGTTCCGTGAAGGGGACGAAACCCCCTCGTGTGTCCCCCCCACTCCCAGCTGAACCGCTCAGGGCGTGCGGCTTCCACCCAAGATTCCGTCTGGAAACAGGGGCCGGCGCCAGGACGAGCTTTGGAGGGCCGGGCCCACTGCTCAGGAGCGTTCCTAGGCTCTGGGACGCGCTGGCGGCGCCCCCAGGTCCACCGTACCCCGCACGCCCACCCCGCACGCCCACCTGCCGCCCCGCCCACCTCACTGAAGTCGATCCTGGGTGGCTGCCTGCAGAGCGGCTCCAGGGGCCTCGCCGGGCTCTTCCACGTCCTCCCGAAGAAGTGTCGGTAGGTCACGTCAAAGAGGGACACTCGCAGGTGGCAGCCCACCTCTGACAGCACCTCCAGCACACCCTAGGGGACAGAGGGACAGCCCTGAAGGGTCCTCAAGGTCACGAGCTTCCCAGCAAGTGCTGACGGACCATCCACGGAGAACTGGGCCACTCAGCGTCCATCTCCCAGTTTAGGTCTCAGTTCCTTTCGGGGAACTACCTCTCTCCCACGGCCCGTGGTCCTGGTGAGGTTATGAGTCCAAGTACACGGCCCTCCCCTGGCCAACCAGAGGCTGGAGTCTCTGGGCCCAGACACAGGCTGGAGACTCACCCAGAAGCAACGAGACACAAGAGGCCAGAGCTGCAGAGACAGACACACATGATGCCATGTGGAGCCAAGAAAGAACAAGTCCGGGTGACACCACATGAGATTCTGGATCAAGGCACACCTGAAGCTTATGCTAACTATGGGTTTGTCTTTATGTGAGTTAACAAATTACCTCAAGCTTAGCCTATTTTGCATGGTTTTCTGTGTTCTGTTTTACCCTTTACATCCTGATAGAACCACAAACTAAAAACTCAACTTGCCAGAATTATTTGGGGGTGGCGCTGGGGTGTGAGCCAAAGAAAAGCAGATCTTTGAGAACTGAGAAGTCGTGGCCACAGATACCGACAAGGCACCGGACGCTGTGAAGACCAGCCCTTTCCCCACAGCAGCACCGCGTACCGCACTGAGGCTCTGCTGGGCCTTTAGCTCCTCTGGGAACGTGGGGGTCCCACCACCCTAACGAATGAGAACGGCTCCCAGGACCTAAACTGCCTGGACAGAGTGATTTACGCTGAACGCCTGCTCTCCTTCTGGGACTCTGGAATCTTGGTACGTGCTAGGCAGAGGGTATCTACACGGCCAGCTCCCGAGAGGCCCTGAGGTTTTTAGAGCCTGTGGGCACTGAGTCTCTAACGAGCTTCCTTGGTTGACAGCATTTCCCAGGGGTTGTCGCAGCCTGTTGCTGAGGGAATGAAGTGTGTCCTGGGGGATTCCCATGGCAGATGACCCCGGAAGCTCACGCCCGTCTCCCCCCATACGCCTTTGGCTCGGCTCATCCTACTCGGTAATTTCTCACTGAAATAAATCTGTCCTCTGAGGATGACTGTGTGCTGAGTCATGTCAAATCCTCCTGAACCCGGGGGGTGCCTCTGGGGGCTCCCGACGTAGGTGCACACACACATTTAGGACCGTCACGTCTTCCTGACTGACATCATCGCTGTGAAATGCCCCTTTATCTCTAGGGATATGCTTCGCCTTGAACTCTACTTTGTCTGATATTAGCACAGCCACAAGGCTCTCTTATGCTTAGTGTTTACACGGCCTTTTCTCCATCCTTTTCCTTTCACACATATGGTCTGAAGACATACACTTCAGGTTTACAGTGTGATTTCTTATAAACAACTTATAATTGGGTTTTAAGTGAAAACTTTAAATGTGTGACTCGACATCACAAAACCACTTGTAGGAATCATTCCACAGACATACGTGTGCATTTTTTTTAAGCGATGTCCATGAAGTTACGCATTGTAGCCATGTCTGTAAGAGCAAACCCCTGGAGGGAGTCCAACTGGTCATCAGCAAGGGCCTAATGAACGGATGACAGGTCCTCCACACAGGAAAAGCTATGCTGTCTTAAGAAAGAGTCAGAAATTCTTCATGGAATGACATGAACAACCTATAACACATATTGTTAAGAATATTTTTTAAGATATAGAACAGAATATAAGCTATCATTTATGTTAAAAAAAAAAGGAAAAATACATACAACTGTATTTATCTGTTGTATTTGCTTAGAATTTCCAGAAAGTTGTACAGAAAACAGGTTAACACTGGCTGTATCTACGGTGGGACACTGGGTGCCTTGGGGACTTCATGGGACAATACACTTTCCCTGTGCGCCCTTGTGAATTTTGAACTATGGGAATTACCTCTTCAAAACCAAATTAAAATGAATTAATAAAGTAAAATGGGAAAATAAATAAAATCTCCTTTGCAAAATTCCTGCTGTCCACTATCTTGTGAGCTCCTGGAAGGCCAGGAGACTGCTGGAGCCGGTCTCCCTAGGTTGGAGTCCCAGCTGGCCGGCTGGAGCTGTGTCACCCTGGGCAACCAAGGTCACCTCTCTCGGGTTGCCTCCTCTTCTGTAAAACAGGGGTAATGATGCTACCTACATCTTGGGGTTGTCATGAGGATGAAGTGAACTAACACAAGTAAAGCGCTAAGAAGTAAAGTAGTAAGAGCAGTAATCACCACAGTACCTAACACGGTGGCAAGCACACGGCAGGTGCTCAATCAAAGGGCTCGAAGTGATGATGCAGGACGGATGCGGGTAATTTAATAATAGACCCAGCGCTCCGACAGCTTTGCGTGCCTGGAGAACGACCCTGCCAGCTGCAGAGGAAGAAGATACAGTCTTGCAAGCCACGTGCTCACACTGGCAGGGCTGGATCCTTCCTGTGCGTCCCCCCAGGACACTGGGCCTCCCTAGGACCATCCAATCCTGTGGGTGGTCTGAGGAGGCACAGACGCGCCAGCTTCTCCGGCAGGTCCCCTGGCAGCTGGAGGGCACAGGTGGACGCAGAGCCACAGAGCAAGGGCCTGAATGTGCAAAGGCGGTGGTACCTCCCAGGCACATCTCCCAGGATGCCCAGAGCTCCGCCCCTGCTATTCTGACTGCCAGGCTGAAAGCCGGCCATGCTGAGCCACGCACAAGGCCGCCTCTTGCAAACAACCTGGTCAGGAAATAACCCAGGAACTCGAATTACCTGGGTTTTTAGATTGCTCCACTGTAGGCAAAAAGCCTTTTAGCCAGGGCCAAAAGTGCTGACCGAGTCGCTGAATCACAAATCCTCTTTGCTGATGGACCACTTTACCTCCGAGTACTGCCAAGGCCCGGGGTGATGGGTACAGTACAAGGCTCAAATAAACATGTGAAAATCAATACCATCTCAGGTGAGAGCAGTGAGAGCGTGCGTTTGACAGTAAAGAACCAATTTCTTTACCTGCTTATTGAGCGGGCCATCGAGCCACTTCAGGACACACTGAAATGCCGTCGACTCCTTTAGAGGCTGGCGTGCTCTCTGTGTGTGGGGAGGGACCAGCAGGTTTTGGTCAAAGATCCTGTGCCAGTCGTGCATTCTGCCGGTCTGAGGGTCACTGGGGGCCTCTAGGACTACCTGCGGCATTCATGTTCAAATAAAGAAAAGAGTTATGAGGGCCACAGTTCTTAGAGCAGTTCTGAAAGTTTCCGACCTCCCGGGAACCCCAGGGAAGCCACCACCCCTGCAACCCACACTCTGCCATCCCACCCTCTAGCCCCCCAGTGCAGCAGACTGGCGCCCACGCCACCTTCCCCTGGCCAACCAGAGCACACCTATCCCGGTCTCAGTGACTGATTTAGGGACCGGCACGTGCTTTGTCCAGCTGTGGAGGTCGAGCCCTGCACGAGGGCACCAGGCCTCGGGAACCAGGGCTGTCTTAGAGTGGCTTGGGGCACATGACCCACTCAGAGCCAACGAGATATGATCTCAGAGCTTCTGCTGGTTCTGTTAGGAGAAGGAAACACTCTTTTCTGTGGCCTTCGGAGCAGAGAGGTCATCAGCCTGAAGCTGCCCCGGGCACCACAGGAGCAGATACCTTGAGACACATACAAAAAGGCAGGCAGAGCAGGAGCAAGGCCAGCGGGTCCAGACGTCATCACGAGAGCCCTGGCTCAAGGGGACCCTGAAGTCCGGCACCCAAGACAGCTGAGCTACATGCAGTCTTGCTGGTGAAGCCAGGTGGGGACAGCTTTTGAGTGCTCTGGGTGTCTTGGCAACCTGGCTCAATAAGGATGCTACCCGCCTTCCAGCAGACAGGGAGCTGAACCTTCTCGAGAGACTGTCTTCAGCTGACACAGAATCATAAGCTCTTGGCCTTGAACAGAGGCCATATTCTGTATGCTAAAAAGGCAAGCAAGAAGGCACGGGCTTTGATCTTCTAAGACAGCAGTTTTCTGAACGTGGTTCCCAAACCCCTGAGGTTGCCCAAGGTGGTCAAGGGCTCCACAGGGTCAAAGCTATTTTCATAACCTCCAGATGCCACGTGCCTCTTTCACTGGGTTGGCATTGGCGCCGGTGGCGCCGAGGCAACGGTGGGTGAAGCTGCATTACGCCCCGAGGCCAACGGCACCGCACCCCACGAGCCATCCTGGGTTCTTCCCCTCTCAGGGCACAAAGTCCAACAGCTTCACCTAAGAATGTCCTTGGGGAAGCTGTGAAAACTATGGATTTTATGACGTCTTGACCCTTGAGGATGCGTGCCTTTAACACTCTGTGATGAAACGGGAAATACACGAAAAGCATTTCTGCTGCCAGATGAAAGACAACGGTCGCCCCAGGGTAAGCCGGGCGTGATCGCTGTTCTGTGAGCTGAACTAGCTCCTTCTTTCACTCAGCAACACCACTCTCACTAAAAGAACGGCTCAGAGACAAACCATGGTTTTTCAGACTTGGGTGCTTTGTAGACAATCTCTCAGACGTGAACAAAATGAACCTGTCACTGCAAGGAAAACGTGTCAAAAAAATTGAGCTTTCAGGCGAAATTCAGAATTGGGAAAATCTGTACCCTCCACTGTGAGCCAGACAGCTGCATACTTCTTTGAAGACTTTCCTGACGAGATGGGTAGTGCCGGGAACGAAAGGGATCTTTTGAAATTGTGTGATTAGATGTGTCAATATCTGGAAGATCTGCCTCCCTCAGAAGCAGTATTTTCCGAGTGAACAAGCACAGTGACATAAAATTCTGCATGGATGAAAGATCCACCCGAACACTGTGAAAGTTCAGGAACAGGGTGTCAGACTGCGCGCAAGAAACCCGCAAGAAACAACCGCTGTGGATTTGGGTACAGCGCCAAAGCAGGGTACCCCCAGTTCTCTAAGGGCCTCCTCCCTCATCGGGGTGAGGCTGGATTTCCTTCAAAGACTTCAGCCGAAATGACCCATCACAACAGAGGAGCCTGTACCAGACCAAGCAGTCCCCAGCGGTGTGTCAGCAGGATGTTAAAGGGATTCGCAAACAAGCAAAACAACCCCACAGTTCTTGCTCATGGTTTTGTTTCGGAAAACGCAATTGGCTCTCATTAAAAAACTACATCTTTATGTTAACGTGTAACAGGTCTACTGTTTTTAAATGAATTAATAACACTGTAGATGCTTCTCAATAACAAATATTGGTAGAGGTCACTCAAGTTTTATCGTTATTTGGAGTCCTCAATCACGTTTTAAAGCATAAAGGGATCTGACACTCAAAAGCTGGAAAAGGGCTGTTCTACAGGAAGCCAAAATTCGAGTCTTCGGGCAGCCGGCCCACTCTCCACGCTCACAGGCTGTGCTGGGAATGCAGGGGGCCTGGGAGGCACGGATGTGACCGCCCCCCTCCCACACCCTGTGGGCCTCAGGGCGGGGGCCCAGCCCCCCACTGGAATGCCACTCCCACCCGGCACCCCCTCGGGCGGGCACACCCCTCGGCCTCCAGCTCCGGACTGTATAAACAGGAAGGCGCGCACTTTGGTTAGTTTGGGGTTTCTTCCTTTGTAGGTTACATTTGTCTACTCAATATCCCTTGTTTTGTGGAACGGCCCTCCCAGAACCCATGACATACACTGGGTGTGTCTTCCCTGGGACTCCAGCCACGCTGCCCTCTGGACAGGCTGTCTCTCCCCCAGGCCAGGAGCTGCCCAGGCCGGCCTGGAGCCCCAGGGGCCACCCTGCCACCCCAGGGAGAGCCTAAGGTAAGGGGCCAGCCCAGGGGAAGCTGGTGGAGATGGAGGGTGGCGAAGACGGCCCTGCCGGCAGGACCCAGACCTCCAGGTGGAGAGAGCCTGATGGAAGGCAGCCCCACCCCAACCAGAGCTGAGTTACAGGAGCCGTAAAGGCCTGTGGCGGCTAAATAATGGCCCCCGAAGACGTCCCCAACCCAATCCTCAGAGCCGATGATTATTGGCCTTCACGTGGCAAAAGGAACTTTGTGGGCATGATCAGGTTAGAGACCATGAGATGGGGAGAGCACCCGGATTATGCAGGTGGGCCTGAAATCGTCACAAGGGTCCTGATGAGGGCGAGGCAGGGGGGTCAGAGAAAAGGCCAGGCGGGGCAGAAGCGGGAGAGACGTGAAGACGGAGGGAGGGACCCCAAGCCGAGGAACGCAGGCGCCTCTAGAAGCTGGAGAAAGCAAGGAACCCGATTCTCCCTAGAGCCTCCAGAAGGATCACAGCCCTGCCCGCACCTTGGCTTTATCCCAGTGAGACTGATTGCGGACTTCTAACCTTCAGAACTGAAAGAAGATAAATTGTTTTCGGTCCCCCGGTTTGTGGTAATTCGTTACAGAAGCCACAGGAACGCATACAGGTGTCCATGACCTGTAAGCAGAAGAGGTCTGACCAACACCCAGCAGGCCTCAGCGCTTGTCACCTGTCCTGTACTGATCTGCTCACTGGCCCACTGCTTGCAGAAGGGAACCTACTGTCCTGTGGCCGTGGTACCAGGCTGTCCACCAGGACTCATCAAATTCAATCATGAAATTTAAGTTTCAGTAAACTTGACTCCCAAACATTTGTCTTTCAGGAAAATGTGCTTTTCTCCTTGACATTAGCTATAAAACTGGGAGGTTTGTTCTTAGAAAGCGAGTGCATATCTACAGGGAAGCCCTTCCTACCTCGGGAGCACAAGCAAAGCACGCGCGGCAGGGTGTCCTCTAGAAGGGGCCCCCGCAGCCCCACACCCTGCCCTGCGGGGTTTCTCGAGCCCAGGATGCAGCCTCCTTTGCAGGGCGCCCCAGACTTTGCTCCCGTGCCCCGGATACCTGAGCCAGTACCTCCCCGCACTCCCCTGAGGGAAGTGGGACCCAGCACCACACTTGGCGGGGAGCTGCTACAGAGCCCTTCCACTATGGTCACCCGGGCAGGGGACACAAAACAGAGGCCCCAGGCAGCACCAGCAGGAGATGCACCGGCACAAGAGGCAGCGACTCGGAAAGGCAGGCCACCCAACATCAAAGAACTGAGATGGACAGGTGCAGGCAGGCAGCAACATTCCAAGAGGGTGATGGAAGGGAGGGGACTCCTGAGACACAGCCTCCTGCGGGCGGGAGCCCAGACTGTCCCAGGGGCTCTGGGACACGCAGAGCGCTTGCGTCCCCCAGCCCCCCACCCAGAACGGCTCTCACCCAGCCCTCACTCCCGTCCACTCCGCGCTGCCGTTGCTTCAGTTCCTCCCGGACACCACGCCCGTGCCACCCACCAGGCCATCAGGCGCACACCCCGGGGTGATTCCTCCTCTTCCTTGGGAAGTCAGATCAGGAGCTACCTCCATCTCCCACACAGGACGCTGTCACAGAAGGCACCCCGCTCCACCAGGCTCCACCAGGCTACGGGGTCCCGGTCGCCCTGCAGGACTGAGCTCCATGAGGTCAAGACTAGGCCCTCGGTGAAAACTTTTTTAGTGATTCAGCAAATCACTAAGTTATGCTGTGGAGGAATTAAGAAGGCTGCGGAGGAAGGGCAGAGAGGCCTTTGGGGCTAGATGAACAAAAAAGGGAAAACTGGGAGGGCCCCATGCTTTGAGCCCAAGAGAAGGGTACAGTGGGCTCTCCAGAGGGGAAATAAAGAAAAGGCACCAGCTTTCATTGAATCCTCATCGTGAGCCAGGCACTCACAAACATCTTCATTTTCATTATTCCAACATCTCCGTAAGGTAAGTAACATTACTGTCCCCATCTTATAGATGTGGAAAGTGAAGCTCAGAGGTTAAACAGCCAGTCTGAAAGCACACAGCCAGTCACACTCACATCAAAGACATTATAGCCGGGCTTCCCTGGTGGCGCAGTGGTTGGGAGTCCGCCTGCCGATGCAGGCGACGCGGGTTCGTGCCCCGGTCCGGGAAGATCCCACATGCCACGGAGCGGCTGGGCCTGTGAGCCAAGGCTGCTGAGCCTGCACGTCCCGAGCCTGTGCTCCGCAACGGGAGAGGCCACAACAGTGAGAGGCCCGCGTACAGCAAAAAAAAAAAAAAAAAAAAAAGACATTATAGCCATGCCAGCCCTCTGCCTACCAAGGCCAGGAGAGGCAAAGGAGCAGAGGCCCTGAGGGCAAAGAGAGGGCACTGGTCCAGGACCGGGCTGATCCCCCCCTCCTCTCAGA